TATTTTTACACTCATTTACCGCACATTTCGTCATTTTTAGCTAAAATTCTGGAGCTGTTCGCGGTGCAAGTTGACCTTGAGCACTGACGGTCCGCCCGCTCGTGTAGGCCCTTTGGGAGCGATTCAATTTGCCTCACTTAGCGTGTGCGGGCTAGGTTTCTATGCGTTATTATTCTAAGTATACAACATACTCCAAAAACATAACCCTTCCGCAGTCGGGTAAAAAAGCGTATGGTTCGGCGCTTCGAATCCTTGTCTGCTACATTCACCTGACTTTAATTTCTAGTCCCAGCATGTGTGAAGATCTCAACATAGCATTTTTGCAGCATTGCGCGTGCTTGGGAAGACGATGATCAAAATCTTCTGGATAAGAGAAGACCCGTGCATAGTAGTGGGACGTATAATACGTGGATAAGTCGATCAATAAGTCATGAAACAGTGATAAATGTAAAACGTAATTTACTTAAACCCCACCCATTGACGCGTCTACAAATAGGTAAGCTTAAAACACCCTTTGTGTCTCGGTGCCAACACCATGAACCGTTGTCTTTTGCAAACAGTTTTGGCACGACGATCCTTTGATCTTCCGTAATGAGATATCTAATTCGTGGTTATGACGCGTTTGCTGCGGCTTAATTTAAACTTTGGGGACCCTGCTTGTTTATGGTAAATTAAGCATGCATAAAAAGTTTTATGTACAGACTTTAGAATAGAACAAATCAAGAATGAAATTTAAAAATATATTTCTGTAATAGGCAAACACATTTCACTAGAAATCACGAAATTGATTCGTAAGGCAGATTCCCCTGAGAAGAACAAGTAAGAAACTCTAGGACAGATATCGTTGTTTACAACATTTATTTCAAATATCACATGTAGACACGACCTGAAAGAGCTAAACTTATCATTACTGTAGATTTTTCATTTTCTTTTATTAAAAATATAAGTCCGCATTTGGCTTTCATCTCACCTGATGGAAAGTGACGATGAAGTCGACGACGTAGCATGCGCACCAAGACAATATCTAATCACTCGCACCTTGAAAATTCCCAAGTTATACCGTTCAGGGAACAAAGCAGGAAATTACACTCCATAGCCGTTCGCCATATAAATGTGGAAGCGTGGAGCTTAATAATTATCACTAGTATCAGGTTTCTCACCACGGTATGACTTCTCTTTATTTTCCCGATATTTCGGAACGGTTGCACGCTCCATGGTCACGGGTTAACTGCCGTCTGTCATCTGCCGCCGTCCAGTCAACCCGTGACCATGGAGCGGTGAAATATCGGGAAAATAAGAAGAAGTCATACCGTGGTAAGAAACCTGATACTAGTGATAATCATTTAGTGAATAACCACGAAAGTCTTAAAATCTATATAGCGTGGAGCTTCATGCGAATCCTTGGAATATCCACAACATTGCGGTGGAACCCCAGCCTACGTTTGTTCCCCTGATGATGGAAAGATGGACGGATTTTTCTATTTTGAATGCTTTAATTCTATAATGTCGTGTGCGATGACCCGTGCTGTGCAACTCGAGTGCACTGCCAGATTATGCGAATGTGTGCGCCTGTAAATACCACACACATGCAAGCCGCGCTACTACAATGAAGTTAGAGTGAGTTACATCTACACATTTTATTACATTTGTTACATTTATTTTATTATACTATTGCGATGACCTGAGTGGTATGGTACGGTGATAGAATCCAACAGCGACAATATCAAAGAATAAAATCGATGTTGCAGTAGTGTCGTACCTGGAAGAAACGTATCATTCAATACGCAGAAGCTTTTTTTATTGCTAAGTGAAAGGATGGCCCAGTCGCGCTGAGTCAACGTTGACAAGTCCTATGTGGTAATAGTTTCACCAAAACACCCTTAACCATCAAAACCTGTAATATTTATTTATTTTTTTATGCATTCCAACACCGCTTCTATCAGCTCGTGACCGGTACTAGAACACCATTCTTCCCCTAGGCATCTTGGCAAATACCTTTTAAGACGACAGTATTGGCCCCTGAGTAGCTTCATAAAGCTTTTACTGTATCGTGTTACATGTGATTGATGTCTTTAATACGATCACTTCCTGCGCTATTGGAAATTGACCACAAGTTTGCAGTTTTGTTTATAATATTTGTAATATCATTGGCTCGTGTCAGTTTCTCCTAAACGAAAAACGCATGTAGCGAATCGTAGCCGTCGCTACAAATATTTTTTAATCGACTTCAAAAAAAGGAGGAGGTTCTCAATTCGACTGTATGTTTTTTTATACGCGATAACTCCGATATTTGTGAACCGATCTTCATGATTATTTTTTTGTTGGAAAGAGGGTACCTCCATAGTAGTCCCATTTCATTTTGAAGAAAATCATCCCCCGCTAAGGGTGACTGTTCACGCATGAAGATTCATATTTATAAATAGAGCCTAAATTCATTATAAGGAGCAATTATTTTAATGGTTGCTTTTGTTATTCTCCAATTCAGAGCGCTTTTCTCTCTCAATATACTTTGAGTAGTGAGAACCGATTTTTATTATCTCCTGTGTCAAGTACCGTACGGTGGCGAACTAGGGGATGGATCCGGGTTTGCGCACTTTCCGGTAACCGATTTCAATAAAACTTGGTAATTATATGTAATTCCACGTACTTTTGAGGTCGGTTTTTTTAGTAGTCTGTACTGAGATTATGTACTGTATGTAGTAGGTCAATGACCTACATATATAATCTTTTTAGCAGATTACTTTAAGTTTGAAATTCTTAATTTAAATGTAATTGTTTTTGGCGCCTTTTTCTTTGTTATTGCCACTGTCTGTTCTCTTTTGTTGGTAGATGTAGATTGGTAGTTGAAATAAACTGTAAATATCCTTTGGTATTATTCACTCCGATTAGCACCCGAACCTAATGATACTATCCGCTACGGCACCGTTAGTTACTTGATCTTTTAGATACGTGGGTTTTTATTTCACCAAGACATCTACTGCATCCTATTTAAAACTAAGTTCTCTATTACCTTTTGAAAGAATTAACTAAAAAATTAGAAAGCTATCTAAAAATGTATACTGGTTTAGCAAATATCTAGTCCGTTAGCGAGGAAATCAACTTCTTTGCTATTAAAAAAAACAAAAACATTTCCCTGTAGAGCTACTTTTAAAGTGAGAAAGAAAACATGGTACCATCACACCCTTTGTACCCATCAAAAGAACCAAACACCATAAAACATGGAATCAAAAATACACCCAATATCAAAAAGAATTTCCACAGTGTTTCTTCAGCACTAACAACGCGTGAAATCTGATTGAGCATCAAAGAGAGAATTTAATCCCTGTGAGGTTTTGTGTAAAAATGCACCCTTTTCTCTGCGGATTAGTTTTATATTTGTGTGATGCAAGGGCGCAAAACCCCCAGGCGCCCGTAACAACGGCCCAATAGCTTTAACTCGCGTTAATTGTGAAACTATTATTCGAAAACCCTATACATGTAGATTGCCCGTTTTTGACGTGTTTTGGAAAATTAAGACAAAAATATGAAAATGAAAATGATAATGTGTTTAATTGTCCTTCACAAGGGAAACTTGTAAGTATAGACTGCAACACATGAAGCTACTAATTGACGGATCTTGTTCCGTTGCACTGGAGGCGGTATTTGAACAAAAGGGTTATTTACAGCCTTGTTTGCCGTTGACTGCACTCGTATATACTTCACTTTTCTTATAAAACTAAACCTAAACCTAGTACCTAAACCGTCTTTATCGATGTAGTTATCGATGGAAATGTATTTATCGATGTAATATTGTAATTGGGGGGAAAATAATAACAGGACGTCATACTCAAAAGAATTGGAATTGGACGATCAATGTTATTGATTGTCTCTCCCTATAATAGCATTATTGTTTCAATGGACTTCGGAGATAAGGTTTTGTATTTTTTACCGTCATTACCGTTGAAATTGATTGGTAATTACAGACAGTCCCTTTCAAAATGTCCTCATCAATTTTTTGTGAAAAAGTCGGGCGACTTATAACGAGCTTAGTGTTAGAGCAAATATGAAAGGGAGATTTATTTTTATGATATCAAGTAACCAGATGAATAAATCGTGCTCCTGTCACGATACGCCAGCCCTCAGCGCATTCGCGCACAGCATCCAATTCGTATTCGTTCTGAATCCGACACTACACATATCTAGAAAACTGGGACCCACTTCGGATGTCGCTTGTGCACTAAGTCCGATTCCAATCCGAGAAAGTACGAATATTTATTTATTTATTTATTAAACTTTATTGACCACAATACAAAGGGTACAAAAGGGTAAAAAATATCGCTTGTACATCTAGTTAAAATGATCCCTGTGACATTTCGGACCGTCATTTCTTATATTCGGAATTGATACGAATCCAAAGATTTGAGGAGAAGAGCCAATAAGCCCGTCGCCCTGAGATATAAGTAGCAGCACATTCAGTTCTGGTTGTCTATGGTTAGAGACAAAACAAAATGGTACCGAAGGACAAGGCTTCCGCATAGACTACAGGTCTGAGAAGTGTCAGAGGAATTATCGAAACTCATTCGTTGGGAGGCGTAGGTTCTCAATTAGGTATCATTTTTTATGATGCTAAATGACGGGATGAACAAATCGCGCACCTAGTGGTAAGCGAAACGCCTGTCCATAACAGTTGCAGTGCCACTGAAAATCGCAAAGATCTGAGGGGGAATGCCACTACGGCCGTCACCCTAAGACATAAGATGGCAACTCCCATGTGCCTGTAACTTCACAAGCAACCTCGCTCTTCAAAACCGGAAGGGCTTTGTAATAGAAATGGGTGGCAGTACTCTCCTAGACTACCACTTTCATATTGAGAACGACGTTAGAAATTGAAGGGACTAAAGGAAGCGTAAAAAGTGTGTTAGGATTTCTCCTTCAGTAGCAGGCAGTATTGTTCCTAACCGAACTTCTCCTGTGTATGAACCGAGAGATTTTCCAACATTAATTGTATCATTTTGTTTCAGGCTATGGCACCAATTCTTTATCTGCGATGTCGAAATCGACACTTGACGCTCATACCCATCTTCGTCAACCAGGTAAGTGAATGACAGAAAAAAATCACACTTTCTCTCTCCAGACTAACCAGGCCTAATTAACAAATGTCGTTTATTTCTGGGCAATGAAGCTGTAGCTCGAGAGAATCAGTCAGATCTAAATTGAGTATTTGTTTTTTTTTCAAACCAATGTTTCGGGTCCTCTACAGACCCCATGGTCACGGCTGAGTGTCAGTTAGTATAGAGTTTCATTTCCAATGTAAAGCAATCGCGGAAACCTACGACCTCGATAAAATGGCAAATAATAAAAAACGAATGATAGTAATGCAACTACCACAGGTGACAAATAAATACAAATTTTGAGTTTTATTTTAAACTGACAAAAAACACATGGGCAGGTTATCAATCAGTTCCCAAACTATGGCAACCCTGAACATTGGGAGCTGATCTCGATCCTCCGCCAGTAAACAGTCCTTCGTTACAACTTTTTTAAATTTGTTATTAAGCAAAACAAAACCTTATTACCTAGGCATTTTACAAGACTAATAAGCAATTTTAATTTAACATAATTTCCTAATATACAATAACTAATACCAAGAAACTATTCATTAACAAAATATCTTTGAATATTTGTTAAGGGTGAGACACTTCATTCATGTGTTCATGGTCTTATTAACACTGGCACTAATATTTATTTTATTCACTATAACTTAACCACATTAACTCAAAAAAGATTTTAGTTCTTTATAGTCTACGCACTATATTTGTATTGTCTAGTAGCTGTATAGCCTCTAAGTTCACGTGTTGATGAAGTGCACATTCGTGAGCTTCGGCGTACTTTTTTATAACATTTATAGCATTTGTGAATTCGAAATATTATTTATCGCTAATAGAACCAATGTGTACAAAGTCCATTTTTCCAGAAGGTACCTAAATATAATTAAGACATAAGGTTTCGTAATGGATTGCTGTTTATCCGCTCACACGATGCGCTCATCCTACCGCAAAATGGCGGCTATTTGGTTTCGCAAATTAGAAAAGGATTCAGTTTAAATACAAGTTTTTATAAATAAAAATTATTATTCTGCGTTGCTAAATAAATACCCTCCGTACTACAATAAAAACATCTGAAATAAAATGCAGTAATACACCGCAAATCCTGCACTTAAAAAGCACTAATGAAATTTTTGGTGTACTTGGGTAAATATGATAATATTCCGTTTGAGTGGTTCTAATGTTTACCATGAAATTACTCCTTAAAGTATAGCTTATAAACATTTATATTCAGGGTAAACTGAAAAAACGCAACTTACGGTATGTTTTCAATAAATAAACACCGACATCACCAGCCCAAACAATAACACACACAATTGTCGTGACGTATTTTTGAAGTTGTTTATTTCTTTTTTAATGACAGACTCAGGCATTAAAAACTTTATGGTTTGCTAGAGTAGTTACCGAAATAGCAATTAGTATTAGTTCTTTTACCTGTTATAACTTCGATATCCGATAAATCGGTATAAAATCATCACCGGCACCTCTAGGTGTGGTATGCTTCCAGAGACGCATGAATCGCGTGAGCGGATATATTTCGTACTTTTGGTATTATCTTTTTCATAACAGTGTAAAAAAACATGCAGGCAAAGTCGGGCCTTAATGTCGTAAATTACATCCATAGATTTTTCCTTCGTTTTTTAATATTTAATTGCACTGTACTTCTCTTATACTTGCATAAAGATTCAGCAAAAAGTTTTTATGCTCGAAAAACCTGAATAGATTTCGCATAAGCTTGAAGTACAGAAAATAACTAAACATTTGTAATTTAACCATATTTTACTAAATTACACACTATTATTTTTAGTATTTTTAAATTATTTATTTAAATGTAATGCATCATGGCTGTTTGCGTTTTTGCCTTTTACGACATTTTAGTACAAGTTGTATTTTTACCTATGGAAGAATAGCTGGCCATCTGTGTGCCTTCATCATTACAATCTTAGAATAATAACGCATCGAAATCTAGTCCGCACACGCTAATTGAGGCAAATTGAAGCGTTCCCAATGGGCCTACACGAGCGGGCGGGCCGTCAGTGCTCAAAGTCAACTTGCACCGCGAACAGCTCCAGAATTTTATCTAAAAATCTGCGGTAAATGAATGTAAAAATACGTCAGACAAACAAAATAGATACTACTTATACTACACTTTTGAGGGAAATGTTATTCCATGGCATCATTATTTGTATATTTGTGTGCGTGCCGACGAGCCTAGATACAAGTTGCTTTCGCCTACATGAATATGATTTTTGACTCAATTGTGAAAATTGTGAAATATCGGGAAAATAAAAAGAAGTTATACCGTGGTAAGAAACCTGTTACTAGTGATAATCATCAATTGTGACAGTTCGTTTGATATAAAACTATCATTGTATGCGTTATTATTCTAAGATTACAATAATTTCCTCGTAAAGATGATGAAAAACATTCTATGTAGCACGGGCGGTGAAGAATCACAAAACTCAAGTCATTAAAGCCTTAGACTTCGGGCGTTCCTAAAACGCAATGTAGTCATTAAAATAATAAGTAACTAACTATGTTTAGGTGACATTTTATAACTCTCCTATTTATGCTTAAAAAAGTTGTCGAATCTTTAAACCCCTTTCCTGAAAAGTTGTCATCTTTCAGATGTGATATTATTCCATCTAAGGTGCCATTACACTGATTATTAAGTTTGTAATAATCGTACAAACTCAGAACTGCAATGTTTTCCAACATAAATACACTCAATGCAGAAACACTCGAAGGAGTTGAACTAACGAACTATAAATTTTCTTCGGCCGTTACCGTCGTCGGTCCCTCGCCAAACACTCGGTGCCTCTGTTTGTTGTCCACGGTCAGTTACCCAGTGCACATAAAAGCTTATTTGTGTCTCGGCCTCTCGATCTATTGTGTCCAAACATATTCTGTTCGACCCGTAACTCCGTAGGGTTACATTTGAAATGCGTGGAATGGCACGCGACGTTTAAATAACAGAAGTAAATTTACTGTCATGCGTCCAACTTACCACGGATCTCTTCTACGGACATGGTTTATTTAGGTCAGAGGTTCACAAACATTTTTGGCTCACCGCCCACTTAAACAAGATAAAAAAAAAGATCACCCCCCAACACAAAAAATATCGAAAACACGCATTATTAACATAAAAAATCATCAAAAAAAGTTTAGTTTATATAGATAATTCAGGTTTTTTTTTTCAAATGCTGTAGCACCTCCTGGACAGCACCAATTGCTTCCAAGGCCCCTAGGAGATCACTTTGGGAAGCTATGATTTAGGTAATATTTTGACACGTTTTTTAAGGGTTGTGAACCTTAGTCGACTTGAAGGTTTCATCACAATGTATCCTTCACAAAACAACCGCTTAATTCCGAAGCAACCATTACAATTCGGCTACCGACTCTCGTTACGTTCTACCAATATTATACAGCCAGATACTATACATTCGGTGACATAATAAAATCTTTTACGATAAAAATATATTAAAGTATACAATATACTTACAGTCAACGATATTGCAGCTTGATTAGTCCTGAAACAATTTTACGAGGCAAGATCGTATAGAGCCCCACCCTTATTTTGTTAACGAATTAATTTTTATAATTATATCATCGGCTTGGCTTAAGAAATTGGTTAAAAGAATTATAAGAATGCGAAACGGATCAGCCTTTTCATAAATATTGCGAAAAAACGGAACGCCTGACAATTTTATCCGACGAGGCAAGCTCGCCATTATAAGTTCCCATGAAATTAAAGTGCTTGCAGAGCAACTGTCTCTTTCACCCCTATGAAGGATCGATACGTGTTCATGCCGTTTCAATTTCGCAACGTAATTGGCAGGTCTCGATTGAAATGAAGTTATGACAGAGTTAGGCCAGTTCATTAGCAATGCGCTAATGATGAAAGCAAGATAAGAAGATTGCACTGTAAATGGTGGGTAAATTCACGGTGATAATTGAACACCATGCCCAGTACTGTACTGCTGTTATTGTGGTATAGTAATCAACAGACAAACTCAAATAATCTGAATTTAATAAGCAAATTACACTTGAAATGGTCACATTGATTGGACTCTAGTACTCATTCGTAGGCAGGTTTTTCTGAGAAGAATTAGTAAGTCACTCTGGTTGTTGCTCTTTATAAATGAACATCGATTACTTGGACTAATGTTCATTTACAAATCGATATATCGATAACCTGTCTAAGTGCAAAGATTTGTTTCACTATAGTTTTAAACCAACCGATATCTTATTACATTAGGTTAGGTACCTATTAAGTAGTATATATTATATATAATTACATATTTATGTGTTTTGTAATAAAACCACAATAGTATGTAAGTGTTCTTAAAGTTGAGTGCCGTGTTAAGGCGACGATGCTTTGACTAGTGGTTTAAGTATAGCCACAATATTTTAATACCTAAGTATATAATGATTGCAAACAATTCTAAAAAAATTATGAAACCACAAAAATATTTAATGTATATTTTGTTAATAATCCATGACAGCAAAAACAATTTTTTTTTTAATATTTTTTAAATACCTCTTTATATATTTAGACGAAACCTACACAAACGCTACAAAAACAAAAAAAAACCAAAGAGATTGAATAGAACTGGCCACGTACCGTATATATTAAACCAATCATTTTTTTTTTATAATAATAACGCACACAATCAACCGTAACTCCGCACTAGAGAAACCCTGAGTCGCGGATGCCATGGAGTTCATAGACAACCACAAATTACACATAAACTCACGAGATAAATAAATGTAGGTCATACAAATATTTCTCCAGACCCGGGAATCGAACCTAAGACCTCTGCCTGGCACTCTGGCCACAGAGGCAGTTAAAAAAGATTAATAACCAATCAGGAGGCAGTATAGTCCTAATTGATATTTTAATTAGCAAAAATACGACGTTCTTTTTTTGAAACTCCTTATAGTTTTGTGTACGGAACTACAGTCAAATATTTCTGCTCAGTTACTAG